CGCACTAAACTATGAGCATGTATCAGAGCATAAAGACAAAGAAGGCAGATATGTAATGATAACGGGTAAGATAGACGGTACTCTCACAACCTTGCTAAACGTGTATGCACCTCCTGGCAGCGACTGGTCCTTTTATAGACGTATATTAGAATTAATGACAACCGAAAGTCGAGGAATCTTAATATGTGGTGGAGATTTCAATATTACATTAAACGCAAAATTAGATGCTTCAAATGGGAAAGGTGGCTCAAAAAATATAGGGAAAAAAATTACACAATTTATGGAAGATACAGGTGTTTTCGATGTATGGAGAGACATCAATCCAACTAAAAGGGAATATACCCACTATTCCCATGCCCATAACGTTTATTCACGTTTGGATTATGTTTTCATGTTCAAATGTGACTTGTTTAGGATACAAAACTGTGAAATTGGGCCTTGCACAGTTTCTGACCATAGCCCTGTTTATGTACATGTTTTCCTCGCAAAAAACAAAAGATCTACTCTTTGGAGGTTAAACACAAGCATTCTGAACTATTCAAATATTAAAGAAAGCTTGACAGTTGCTATAGGGGAATATTTTGAACATAATGATAATGAGGAGGTTGATCCTGGAATACTTTGGGATGCCTTTAAGGCAGTAATTAGGGGGAAAATAATAAGTATCTCTTCCCATCAAAAAAAAGCAACTATTAACAAAATTGTCAACTTAGAACATAAACTACTGAAACTTCAACAAGAACACTCTAAACATATGACAACTGAGACCAAATCTGAAATAAAACAATTAAAAAAAGAAATAGACGACATCAATACACTGAATATACAAAAAAAACTAATTTTCACTAAACAACAGTACTATGAAGCAGGCGGGAGATCCCTAAAACTTCTCTCCTATAAACTCAGGAAACAACAAGCTGAGAGAACCATTCATAAAATTAAGAATCCCTTTAACAATAAAATTGAAAACGAACAAAATCAAATCAAATGGTGCTTTCAAAAGTACTATTTAAAGCTTTACTCTCAAATCCACGCAGATAATGATCAAGATGTAGATGCTTTTCTCTCACAATTGAATTTACCAACACTGACAGATGAGCAAAATAACAGACTCCTTTCCCCAATAACCAAAGAGGAAATCCAGCTGGCAATTAAAAAACTGAAAAAAGGAAAGATGGCAGGAGCAGATGGATTTGGCCCTGAATGGTATAAAACAATGGAGAGTTGCCTGACCCCAAACTTATTGAAGACATTTAACTGGGTGATGCAAGAGAAAACAATTCCTCCCTCATGGAACGAGTCAATAATCTCCATCATCCCAAAGGAAGGGAAAGACAGACTTGAATGTAGTAACTATCGCCCGATTAGTGTCCTAAATATCGATTACAAACTGTTTGCATCTATCATATCAAGGAGATTGGAAGTAATATTGCCACACTTAATACACAAGGATCAGACCGGATTCATTAAACAAAGACAGACACAGGACAGCATAAGGAGAGTGCTACATGTGCTGCATAATGTTGTACAGAAAAAACAAGAAACCTTGGTGATGAGTCTGGACGCAGAAAAGGCGTTTGACTCAGTGAGGTGGTCCTTCTTATTTAAGGTTTTCAGTAAGTTCGGCTTTCATAAATCTATTACAGAAATTATTGCAGGGTTATATAGCAAACCAGTGGCTAGAATTAAGATCAATGGAGACCTTACTGAGTCAATTGCATTGGAAAGAGGGGTAAGACAGGGATGTAATTTGTCTGCACTTTTCTTTGCTTTGTACATTGAACCGCTTGGACAGTGGATCAGGCAGAGACAAGATATTGTCGGGGTAACTGTCGCAGGAAAAGATCAGAAATTGGCCCTATTTGCTGATGATCTATTGCTGATCATATCTAATCCTACCCTGACGTTACCAAAAGCTATAAAGATATTTGAGGACTTTGGTATCTTTTCAGGATACAAAATTAATGTAAACAAAACTCAAGTATTGACCCTAAATTATAATCCTCCCCAAAACATTAGAGACCACTATAAATGGAAATGGGACACAGAATCGATTAAATATCTTGGAATTTTCCTACATAGGGATTTCACCAAAATGTATGATGTTAACTATGGACCCCTAAACACAAAGATAAAATCTGACATTGAAAGGTGGAATACCATACCATTCTTCGATTTATATTCTCGGATTGACACTATTAAGATGAATATCCTTCCTCGAATCTTATACTTGTTTCAATGTCTGCCGTTTACCATACCCCAAAAACAATTTACAGAATGGGACCAAATTCTATCGAAGTTTATATGGAAGGGTAAAAAACCCAGAATTAAGTTCAAAACTTTACAAATTAAGAAAGAAAAAGGGGGTATGGGCCTCCCATGTTTAAGAGAATATTATTATGCTGCCCAGTTGAGGCCCCTGGTTTGTATGTGCTCTCCGATCTACACAGCAGGATGGAAGGACATAGAGGGGACTATGATCAAAGGGATACCTCTTAAAGCTCTAATAGCAGACTCTAAATTACAATCCAAAATCAATCTTTCAACTGAACACATATCATTCACAACAATTACGGCCTGGAATGAAATAATCAAGTTATGTGGTTTACAGGAGGAATCTAAAATTCTGCGATGGTGTGCATATGACTCAGAATTTACTCCTAATAACTATGATAACAGATTTAAAACATGGATTAGGAAAGGATTAACCAACTACAATTCATTTGTCCACAAGGGGGCTCTACAAACATTTGACACACTGAGGCAAAAACATGGGTTGGGCTCTGAAGATTTTTTCAGGTACCTGCAAGTCAGACACTATTTCAATCAGAATATTAAAATACCGTCATCTGACCAAGGGCTCTTACAAACATTTATTTCACTAACAAAATCCTTGTCCCCTACCAAACTTATCTCCAAACTATACAACAGCATCCTGCGGAGTAAGGGAGAGAGCACCTACTATGTTAAAGAAAAATGGGAAAGAGAAGGGCATTTTACAGTAACTGAGGAGAAATGGGATCATATTTGTGAAATACAGTGGGTCTCAACTGGGTCAAATACATGGCGTCAGTTCTGTTGGAAAAACACAATGCGTTTTTTCATTACACCAGCACAAAAAAGATACCAGGGAACTGGAGATGCGTGTTGGAGGTGTGGTGTTGCAGGGGCGAACCATTTTCATGTTTTTTGGAGCTGCCAAGTTATTCAAGATTATTGGGTAGAGATTCATCAACATATACAAAATGTATTTTCAATTGCTTTTCCCCTATCATTTGAAGCAATTTATCTTGGTGACATAGAACTGGATGGTCTCAACAATGGAGACAAGAAACTACTTTACATTCTCTTAGCAGCAAGTAAAAAGGCCATCACCAGAAGATGGCTCAAACCTGGAAAGCCAACAAACGAGGATTGGACCAATATTGTGCATGACATCTACATCATGGAAAAAATTTCATCTCAGTTGAAATTGCAAATTGACTCATTTTACAGGATTTGGTCAAAATGGACACAATATGTTAAGCCGATAAGATCTGATTTCATGTAATGTTGAAATATAAATACTACTGATTGCAATTGTCTATTTTGCTATGTAAATCGAAAGGGTACCCCACCTCTCTATTGTTTCTCTATTGTTTCGTTTGTGCGTGTTTCATGTGTAAAAATGGAAGAGCAAAATCGCACTACTATTTGAAAGAAAATCTGTAATTATCTGTCTCTTCAATAAAAAATAAATGTAAAAAAAAAAACAAGACTAGGGTTATAGCTAGGGTTAAAGCTAGGGTTATAGCTAGGGTTATAGCTAAGGTTATAGCTAGGGTTAACAGCTAGGGTTATAGCTAGGGTTATAGCTAGGGTTATAGCTAAGGTTATAGCTAGGGTTATAGCTAGGGTTATAGCTAGGGTTATAGCTAGGGTTAAAGCTAGGGTTAAGACTAGGGTTATAGCTAGGGTTATAGCTAGGGTTAAAGCTAGGGTTATAGCTAGGGTTATAGCTAGGGTTAAAGCTAGGGTTATAGCTAGGGTTATAGCTAGGGTTATAGCTAAGGTTATAGCTAGGGTTAACAGCTAGGGTTATAGCTAGGGTTATAGCTAGGGTTAAAGCTAGGGTTATAGCTAGGGTTAAGGCTAGGGTTATAGCTAGGGTTAAGGCTAGGGTTATAGCTAGGGTTATAGCTAGGGTTAAAGCTAGGGTTATAGCTAGGGTTAAGGCTAGGGTTATAGCTAGGGTAAAGGCTAGGGTTATAGCTAAGGTTATGGTACATTAATTAGCACTTCATTAGCTTTACCTTGACATAAGACATGACACATTCTAACAGTGAGTTTCTTAGAATTACAAATGGATGTTTAATGATCTTATTCTTGAGTGATTTGTGCGACTACTTTGTGCTAAATGCTTCTGTGAAAGATCGATATCTAAAACTTTCACATTGTTTTTGTGTCACTGCTTTTTTTTAAATGACCTGAAATGAAAACAAACAAAGTCCCTGATCCAATCTATTTTGTATCGTGGAAGAAGTGAGCCACGCTAACAAGGCCGCCATGTTTGTCCACTGATTCTGCAGATAAATATAACACACACACACACACACACACGCACACACTGACACACACACACACACAGACACACACACACACACCTCCAGGAGATATCACAGCCCTGATTACACCGTGGGCCCCGGGGACAGGAGCTCGGCAGAATCACAAGCAGAAAAACATCAGTCTCAATTTGCCGCTCGGTGCTAAGTATGAGGTCCCGGCTCTGCCCACAGACCTCTCCGTCCCGGCTCCAGAACACAATTATCTCCGTGGCGCACATACGGATCCAGCTCGAAGGACCGCTGTTTATGGAGGTCACACCACACACACACAGAATGTTCTGGGCCTCCTCGCTCTCCTGGGACCTGCGGCAATGAGCCTCGGATCCAGCATTGATTTGAAATGGCGGTGGCTCCGCAGTGCTCCGCTGCCCTAATAACAGGATCAAATGCATCACACCTCCTTGACCAGCAGCCAATTCTCACCGCATTCCGGCTCCAACTCAATCACACGTCTAATTCTCCGCCGCCTCCCAGAAGTGTCCACTCCTGCAGCGTTCGCAGGGTGGATGTGATTATTATCATGAATGAAATGCAACAATAACAGCTCAAAAGGGCGACGCACACATCCGTCTGCGGGGGTCATTTATATTCAGAGGCCAACTGCTCTGACGCAAATGTAATATGCACTTGGAATGAATTGGAGAGCTGTTAAATCCCTGGGGTCTGTACCTCTGTCTCTCATGTTTATATAACAGTATAGTCCCAATCACTCTTTCCAGCTGGCTGAAGGTTACAGGCCAAGAGGGGTAACAAATGGGCTCAGTGCACCTTCTGAGCGCCGCGGCTGAAGCCTGGATAATGGCCTGTCATAATGGACAATATAGGCAGAGCCCTCCTGAGACCAGAAACCAAAGAACAAGTGGCTGAATTATTCATGGTTTCCATGGCGGCCACACAGCTGCATCACATTAGGCTCTTCATTAACTCTGCTGCTGCAGAACGCTGCTAAAACACAACATTATCATTGGCTCTGGAGGGCGTCCTCCTTAACTCAGCCTGACTGCTGACCTTCTTCACATGTAATAATAATATGTCTGGGATTAAAATGTGATTCCATGTTTGAGGCGAGCTGTCGCTGCTTGTTCTTATGATGGTTGAGAGTGACAGGCTCTGACTCTTCTCTCTTCACATTAATGACACACTTATCTGAGGACACTCGCTCTGAGGATCATGAATGATGCAGAGAGACGGAGCTCGTCCTTGTTGGGCCCAAACAGAGCATCCTTTAATTGGATCTTACTGAGAGCTCATTGACACAGCTTTTGTCACGAGGGACCTTTGAAGACGTTCTGCGGCTGTGCTTTAGCGAGCACTAAAAGTTAAATGAATCCTTCTGTAATATGCAACATTCATTATGCTCTCAAGTGATTCTTAATCGCTCAAACTCCAAACCTTTTCTGTGCTTATGGTGTTTTACCATCGAGCTGCGACAAAGACACAAATATCTCTGACTCCAGTTCATCTGCTCCTAAAGCACAAACTCTCTGTTCTAATTGGTCCATTCGAAGATTTATCCTCAATGTTCCTCTCATGAATGATGCATGTGCTTAGGTTCTGGCTCAGAGGTACAGATGGCTCAGAGGTACAGATGGCTCAGAGGTACAGATGGCTCAGAGGTACAGCTGGCTCAGAGGTACAGCTGGCTCAGAGGTACAGCTGGCTCAGAGGTACAGATGGCTCATAGGTACAGATGGCTCAGAGGTATATGGCTCATAGGTACAGATGGCTCATAGGTACAGATGGCTCAGAGGTACAGATAATAATAATAATAATAATGCATCGGTTTTATATAGCGCTTTTTTGGACACTCAAAGACGCTTCACATGTGTCATTATTCATTCACTCCAAACACGGTGGTGATAAACTACTAATGTAGCCACAGCTGCCCTGGGGCACACTGACAGAAGCGAGGCAACCAGTATGTGCCATCGGCCCCTCCGACCACCACCAACCATTCACACGCACACCAGACTCATTCTAATGTGGGGGAAGTGTCTTGCCTAAGGACACAACCACAGTTTGGCACTTTACAGCCACAGCTGCCCCACTGTGGCCCCTGCTGTTCCCAGAGGTCTCCCATCACAGCACTAACCAGGCTCTGTCTCTGCCTCTGTCTCTCTCTGTCTCTCTCTCTCTCTGTCTCTCTCTCTGTCTCTCTCTCTCTCTGTCTCTCTCTCTCTCTCTCTCTCTCTCTCTCTCTCTCTCTCTCTGTCTCTCTGTCTCTCTCTCTCTCTGTCTCTCTCTCTCTCTCTGTCTCTCTCTCTCTCTCTGTCTCTCTGTCTCTCTCTCTCTGTCTCTCTCTCTCTGTCTCTCTCTCTGTCTCTCTCTCTCTCTCTGTCTCTCTCTCTCTCTCTGTCTCTCTCTCTCTCTCTGTCTCTCTGTCTCTGAGGAGATGAAGTGTTATGTCTGTATCATTCCGATGCAGAACAAAGCCTTCTCTGTGGAGAATAACTCTACAGTCTGTTTGTCAGACAAGGTTCTTTGGCCCCGGTTTTAAAAGACACCACTGGATTAAAAAGCAATGATTTATTGTAAAATATATAAAAACAAAAAAGGATGAAAAGAAATAAAAGCCTGGGCTAAAAACACAGGCTAAAAGCTAAAACAGAGGCAAAAAATAGGCTTAAAACCTTCTTTTAGCCACGGCCGCAGACCACGGGGCTTTCTCTTCGCCGTGTCTGGCCCCGGGTCTCGCTCTCTGGCTTCTTCCTCCTCTCCCCCTACTCCTCTTCCTCCTCCTCTTCCTCCTCCTCTTCCTACTCCTCTCCCCCTACTCCTCTTCCTCCTCCTCTTCCTCCTCCTCTCTCCCTACTCGTCTCCCTACTCCGCTTTCCCTACTCCTCTTCCTCCTCCTCTCCCCCTACTCCTCTTCCTCCTCCTCTCCCCCTACTCCTCTTCCTCTCCCCCTACTCCTCTTCCTCCTCCTCTCCCCCTACTCCTCTTCCTCCTCCTCTCCCCCTACTCCTCTTCCTCCTCCTCTCCCCCTACTCCTCTTCCTCTTCCTCCTCCTCTTCCCCATCTCCACTTTTATACTCAGGGCACAGGCGTCTTGATTGTCCAGTCACGTGGGGAGCCGGGGTGCTTCAGGAACTGCACGTCATTAAAACATTAAAAACACAAATCTAAAATCACACGTTAAAAACCCACCACCTTTTTTACACTCTACAGAGATGACCTTTAAACTCTACAGAGATGACCTTTAAACTCTACAGAGATGACCTTTAAACTCTACAGAGATCACCTTTAAACTCTACAGAGATGACCTTTAAACTCTACAGAGATCACCTTTAAACTCTACAGAGATGACCTTTAAACTCTACAGAGATCACCTTTAAACTCTACAGAGATGACCTTTAAACTCTACAGAGATCACCTTTAAACTCTACAGAGATGACCTTTAAACTCTACAGAGATGACCTTTAAACTCTACAGAGATTACCTTTAAACTCTACAGAGATTACCTTTAAACTCTACAGAGATGACTTTTAAACTCTACAGAGATGACCTTTAAACTCTACAGAGATGACCTTTAAACTCTAAAGAGATGACCTTTAAACTCTACAGAGATGACCTTTAAACTCTACAGAGATGACTTTTAAACTCTACAGAGATGACCTTTAAACTCTACAGAGATGACCTTTAAACTCTACAGAGATGACCTTTAAACTCTACAGAGATCACCTTTAAACTCTACAGAGATGACCTTTAAACTCTACAGAGATGACCTTTAAACTCTACAGAGATCACCTTTAAACTCTACAGAGATGACCTTTAAACTCTACAGAGATTACCTTTAAACTCTACAGAGATGACTTTTAAACTCTACAGAGATGACCTTTAAACTTTACAGAGATAACCTTTAAACTCTAAAGAGATGACCTTTAAACTCTACAGAGATGACCTTTAAACTCTACAGAGATGACTTTTAAACTCTACAGAGATGACCTTTAAACTCTACAGAGATGACCTTTAAACTCTACAGAGATGACCTTTAAACTCTACAGAGATGACCTTTAAACTCTACAGAGATCACCTTTAAACTCTACAGAGATGACCTTTAAACTCCACAGAGATCACCTTTAAACTCTACAGAGATCACCTTTAAACTCTACAGAGATCACCTTTAAACTCTACAGAGATGACCTTTAAACTCTAAAGCGATGACCTTTAAACTCTACAGAGATGACCTTTAAACTCTACAGAGATGACCTTTAAACTCTACAGAGATGACCTTTAAACTCTACAGAGATGACCTTTAAACTCTAAAGCGATGACCTTTAAACTCTACAGAGATGACCTTTAAACTCTACAGAGATGACCTTTAAACTCTAAAGCGATGACCTTTAAACTCTACAGAGATGACCTTTAAACTCTAAAGAGATAACCTTTAAACTCTACAGAGATCACCTTTAAACTCTACAGAGATGACCTTTAAACTCTACAGAGATGACCTTTAAACTCTACAGAGATGACCTTTAAACTCTACAGAGATGACCTTTAAACTCTAAAGCGATGACCTTTAAACTCTACAGAGATGACCTTTAAACTCTACAGAGATGACCTTTAAACTCTACAGAGATGACCTTTAAACTCTAAAGAGATGACCTTTAAACTCTACAGAGATGACCTTTAAACTCTACAGAGATCACCTTTAAACTCTACAGAGATGACCTTTAAACTCTACAGAGATGACCTTTAAACTCTACAGAGATGACCTTTAAACTCTACAGAGATCACCTTTAAACTCTACAGAGATGACCTTTAAACTCTACAGAGATCACCTTTAAACTCTACAGAGATCACCTTTAAACTCTACAGAGATGACCTTTAAACTCTAAAGCGATGACCTTTAAACTCTACAGAGATGACCTTTAAACTCTACAGAGATGACCTTTAAACTCTACAGAGATGACCTTTAAACTCTACAGAGATGACCTTTAAACTCTAAAGCGATGACCTTTAAACTCTACAGAGATGACCTTTAAACTCTACAGAGATGACCTTTAAACTCTAAAGAGATAACCTTTAAACTCTACAGAGATCACCTTTAAACTCTAAAGAGATAACCTTTAAACTCTACAGAGATGACCTTTAAACTCTACAGAGATGACCTTTAAACTCTACAGAGATGACCTTTAAACTCTACAGAGATGACCTTTAAACTCTACAGAGATGACCTTTAAACTCTACAGAGATGACCTTTAAACTCTACAGAGATGACCTTTAAACTCTACAGAGATGACCTTTAAACTCTAAAGCGATGACCTTTAAACTCTACAGAGATGACCTTTAAACTCTACAGAGATGACCTTTAAACTCTACAGAGATGACCTTTAAACTCTAAAGCGATGACCTTTAAACTCTACAGAGATGACCTTTAAACTCTACAGAGATGACCTTTAAACTCTAAAGAGGCAAGGCAAGGCAAGGCAAGGCAAGTTTATTTGTATAGCACAATTCATACACAAGGCAACTCAAAGTGCTGAACAAGATAGCATTAAAATCATAAATAATTACAGAACATTAAAACGAAAGATAAAAATATAAAATCCCTCAGTTGTATGCACAGCTAAACAGCACCGTTTTTAACCTGGTTTTAAACATTGTCAGAGAGGAGGCCTGTCTCACATCTTCAGGAAGATTGTTCCAGATTTTAGCAGCATGAATCTGAAAAGCAGCCTCCCCATGTTTAGTTCTGACTCTGGGCACTAACAGGAGTCTAGTTCCTGTGCTCCTCAGAGTCCGGGCTGGTTCATATGGGACTAACATGTCACTAATATATTTTGGTGCGAGGCCATGGAGAGATTTGTACACAAGCAGAGCTGTTTTAAAGTCTATTCTCTGAGCCACAGGAAGCCAGTGCAGGGACCTGAGGACCGGACTAATGTGGTCGTACTTCCTGGTTCTTGTCAGGACTCGAGCTGCTGCATTTTGAATGTACTGCAGCTGTTTTACAGCCTGTTTGGACAGACCTGTGAGCAGGCCATTGCAGTAGTCTAACCTACTGGAGACAAATGCATGGATAAGAATCTCCAAGTCTGCTTTAGACACTATGTTTTTGATCCTGGCAATGTTTTTTAGATGGTAAAAAGCTGCTGATGTTAAAGAGATGACCTTTAAACTCTACAGAGATGACCTTTAAACTCTACAGAGATCACCTTTAAACTCTACAGAGATGACCTTTAAACTCTAAAGCGATGACCTTTAAACTCTACAGAGATGACCTTTAAACTCTACAGAGATGACCTTTAAACTCTACAGAGATGACCTTTAAACTCTACAGAGATGACCTTTAAACTCTACAGAGATGACCTTTAAACTCTACAGAGATGACCTTTAAACTTAAACTCTACAGAGAGACTTTAAACTGACTTTAATTAGAGATGACCTTTAAACTCTACAGAGAGACCTTTAAACTTACAGAGATGACCTTTAAACTCTTGAAACTCTACAGAGATGACCTTTAATCTACAGAAACTCTAAGAGACCTTTAACTCTACAGAGATGACCTTTAAACTCTACAGAGATGACCTTTAACTACTGACCTTAAAACTCTACAGAGACTCTGACCTTTAAACTCAACAGAGATGACCTTTAAACTCTAAAGCGATGACCTTTAAACTCTACAGAGATGACCTTTAAACTCTACAGAGATGACCTTTAAACTCTACAGAGATGACCTTT